CCCCAAAACCCCAAAACCCCAAAACCCCAAAACCCCAAAACCCCAAAACCCCGTAAAATATATCCTTCTTTGAAATTAAATAATTCTTTGGAAATAACGTTTAAATTATGAAGAAAGCGAAGAGAACGAGTTCGGCATCTGGTAGCGACCAGATGAAGAATATATTGAAGCAACTGTTTTATAAGATAGCTGAGTATAAGAGGTATTGTAGAAGGTCTGGAGCTGGGTTTGGCACTCCTTTCAAAGAGACCCAGAATTTGACTCCAGCACATTCGAGGCATACAGGTACTAGTTCAGGAGCATCCCTGAGTAAGAGTGGGTATCACTCTCACTGGTTTAAAGGATCAGAGATTCAGAGGTAGGGATTTGTTTAAGGATTCTTAATTTTTTTGTTATAGAGAGGAGAAAGTTATACTGGAAGATGAAATTGAAGGTAATTGGCTTAATAATTTTTAGAATTAAAATTAAGGCTTGAACGATGTGATGAAATGACATTTTTGAAAGCATTCCAACTTATCGACACACTGAATATTAATTTTATCGATTTTACTTCAATAGAGAGATTTATGAAAGAGGATTGGGGCTTTAAGAAGCGACATATTAGAGCAGTAATCTCCTATCTCGATCAAACAGGAAATGAAAAAGTGACTTTTAACGAATTCATAATTTCCCTTACACCTACTACAAGAGCGCCAAGAGTCGAAGATATTCCCGAAATAATCAGCTACAGTCCTAGAAAAGCAGCTCTAGAAGACTCTCTGCCTCCTAAATTCAACGAATCCTACACGACAAAGAAATAAAAGTCTCAAACTTAAGTCTAAGACCCGTTCATCCAAAGGTAACGTTTCTTCTAATTTTAATAGTGTTTCCTCTGCGTAATAACAAAACTCACCGTATTTTTCACACAAATCTAAACACTTCAAAAAATTCACGTACAAAATCTAAATCCAAGCTTTCTTCAAAATGCTCCAAATGCTCTAATACAACATGGTAAATAGTCCCAACTGCTAGATTACTTCTGATTTATTGTATTCCGGCAGCTTAGGCTTCATTCCATGCTACTGGAGTTGTTCTTAATTAACACCAATTAAGCCCACTAATCTAACCCCATTTCAACACCCATCTTTCCCACTAAGTAACCATAACCTAACCATCCAGGCTAAAAATGTCTAAAATCATTAAGAAAAACACCATTAAAGCAAAACCCAAAAGTAACTTTCCTTCTCAAAAGTAGCTTCTCACTCTAAGCTGAAAAAGAAAGCGAAGCCCTTAAAGCCCAAAGACAAAACTTTATAATCCTGCGTCGCCTTAAAGAAAAAGAGCAGACAAATCTGGCAAAGGTTCAAGAAAGTAGGAATTCTGGTCATAATTTTAGGAAGAAGGCAGTGCCAAGCAAAGCTTGAGGAGCAGAATGAGACTGTGAGGAAGAAGATTTTTAGGGGAAGTGAGTGTGAAGAGGAAATTGGGGAGCAGAGAAGGATGAGAGGAAGGTAATTTTGGGAAGGTGGGGAATGTGGAGTGGGGTTTATTTGGGATTTAGTAGAGGAAGAGAGGGGTTGAAGGAGGATGAGAGGATTGGAAATAGGGAGGAGAAAGATGTGGAGAGATTGGATATTTCACCTTTAAGGCATAAGTCTTTTGATAGAGTAAAAACTACTAAGAATGTAACTTTTCAAGATCAGAGGTGACTTTATGTCTTATTTTTAGTCCAGAGTATAATCTCCCAAAACAGATGTTGAGTGGGAAGAAAATTGATCGTCCTCCCTTGCCAAACTCAAGCAAAAATATAAGAATGGAAGACAGGATAAGAAACTCCCAGGAACTGAGGCATAAAGCTTCCTATAAGCCAGCATCTTATATAAAGCCCTTCAGCAAATTAAGATCTGAAGTATCTCCTGCTTACCATACATCAGCTCACTAGTAAATCAATTAAATAATTTTCTAGCTCGAGGAGGATATCCCCGCTAAGGCCTGCACCGAGTCATTTGCCTGATAGGCCACTGATTAACTCAAATACTTACAGTGGTAAGAACTCTCACAGGGAAAGCTACTCCACTCACAAGGCTTCTGATCGAAGCTTCAAAATCCAGCATGAAGAAAGTAATATTTCTTTGAATATTTTAGGCAAAGCTTCTCCAAAGCATAACAAGGACCTGGTGACAATACTCAACGTTCTTAAGGATCAAATTTCTTTTGAAAACAACATTGAAAGAGCTAGAATCAGACTGGCTTATACATCAGACTTTAACCTTATGGATGCATTCAGGATCTTTGATATTGATGGCCAAGGGACTATACAACCCTCAGATTTGTTAAAAGGACTTGAAAATCTTGGAATAATCAGGTAAGCAACATTTTCAATAACTCTAGCAACGCTAATCTTCCAACTATCCTAGACAAAGACTCAGTATTCTTGTTCATGATGAGATATGATAATGATCATGATGGAAGGATGAAATACTCTGATTTTTGAGATGCTTTTACTCCTAAAGAGCTAAAACTCTCAGCAGAGATCCACTCTCGGCCTCCCTATAATATTTATTCAGAGGGAGATCCATCGAAATACTTCAGCCCGGAGACCAGAGCTCTATTGAGGCAAGCTTTCAGAGTCCATTTCGAGTCTGAGCTCAAAACTGAAAAGATAAGACAAAGCTTGATGCTTAATGTAAATGAAGCATTTAAGCTTCTTGACTCAGATCTTGATGGGTATATTTCCAAGAAAGAGCTTGCACAAGCTTTTGAGACGAATCAGATCTTCTTGAACCAACAGGATATAGATTTTATCATGGGTAAATCAGCAGCTAACAATTTTTAGACCGTTATGACCAAAACAAGGATAGTAGAATCTCCTTCAAAGAGTTTACAGATGAACTGACACAGAGGATCACAATTCATTATTAATTCAAATTTTCAGATGAATATTGGGGTTTTGGGGTTTTGGGGTTTTGGGGTTTTGGGG